TTAATCTACAGAGTGTTCGCAATACGAAGTGTCAATGCTGTATAATAGTTTGTGTAATTACTTTCTTAACTTAAATGGGACACCCTGTATTTTACTTTAATTTTGAATTCTAATCAAAAAAATAATATTACTTTATTAAACAATCCCTATACCTATCCTTTATAATTTTCGATTAATTTGGGTTTTTTTGAAAATGCACTATTCTTGAAATTAATTAATTACACTTTATTACATAAAGTTAAACAAAACACACTAGAAAAAAAATTAATTTACATTAAATGTTCAAAATGGTGTCCATTTTCTTCAATACATAACCTCACTCTGTGTTCAAAATTTTGTTTTACTCTTCTTAGCATTTCTGGAGTAACTGTTGCAAACGCATTACGAATACGCGTTTTCATGTCTTCAGCGGTTGTAGGTGGAGTTTGATAAACCAAACTTTTAATATATCCCCAAAAAAAAGTCCATTGATGTTAACCCAGGTGATCTAGGGGGCCAATTGACAGCACCACCCCTACCTATCCACTTTCCGGGAAATTTTCTGTCTAAATATTCTCTAACGTTACGCGTGTAATGTGCTGGAGCACCGTCTAGCTGCAGAAACATTGTTCTTCTAATATTTAAAGGGATATTTTGCAAAAGTATCCAAAAGTCTCTTCGTAGAAATCTTAAAAACTTTTGTCCATTTAAATGGCCATTAAAAAAATACGGTCCTATCACATGTTCTCCTATTATTCCACCATATACATTAAGGGACCATCGGTTTTGTCGATCAGTACATCTATATTCATGTTGATTTTCCGTATTATAATAGTGAAAGTTATGTCGGTTCACGAGTCCATTATTATGGAAAGTAGATTCATCAGTGAACAAAATTTTATCAAAAAAATGTTGATCTGCTCCCGTTTTGTCTAGAAACCATAAACAAAATTCTAACCTACGTTCAAAATCAGTTCCATACAAATGCTGATGCATTTGAATATGGTATGGGTGATATTGATATTTTTTAAGAATTCTGCATATACTAGTTTGGCTTACTTCAATCTCCCTGGCCATCGTCCTTGTACTTGTATTTGGATTTTCAATAACTGATTGAATAACTTCTAATTCGGTATTTTCATCTTCAGTTATCGGATTTATTAATTTTCGTTTAGTATAAACAACACTGCCAGTTTCACGAAACCTTGTTAAGACTCTGTCAAATACTTCTTTACGAGGATGACGTTTTAAGGGAAATCTCTCAGCATAGACTCTTGATGCTAACAAACTGTTTTGATCACATTCACCCAGTATTAAAATCATATTTACTCGGTCTTCAATTGAATAATCTGCCATTTCTATTTAATTGAAAGCAATACAGTTAATAGTTTGACAATTAGTTTGACAGCTAGGTACCTTTTGTTTTTTCATGGCATTCTTTATAATAACGAGCTATGTAATTAATGACATTTAATGTTCCAGGTAACATAATGCAAATAGATTTGAAGATACTAGATATTAATATAAAATTTTATAATAGTTTGATTATAATAATTGTTACAACATTCAAATACAGGGTTTTTGTTTAAGTTAGAGTAGAACTTTATGTAATAAAGTGATAAAAATTAATTAATTTCAAGAATACATAGTGCATTTTCAAAAAAAACGCAAATAAATCGAAAATTCTCAAAGATAGGTATAGGGATTGTTTAATAAAGTAATATTATTTTTTTAATTAGAATTCAAAATTAAAGTAAAATACAGGGTGTCCCATTTAAGTTAAGAAAGTAATTATACAAAATATGGTACAGCATTGACACTTCAGATTGCGAACACTCTGTAGATTAGTTTCAAATGGTAATTATTCTGATGTAAAGCATGGACACTTGACAATTAACTGACAAAAAGGCGTTAATTAAAATTCATGCGATATTGTGTAATTAATTAATTTCGCGAATAGTACATTTTCAGAAAAACCCAAATAAATCGAAACCGGTCAAAAATAGGTATAGGGAATGTTGAATAAAGTAACATTATTTTGTTCAGTAGAATTCAAAATTAAAGTGAAATATATGTTGTTCCATTTAAAAAAGTATAAGTTTATATCATTACGCCAAATTGGGACACCCTGTATATATCTCACAAATTTTAATTTGTAGCCGGTACTAACCTACGTATTCCTGCAAAAGAAATTTTTAATATCTTTAGCCGTTTCCCCGGTAGGCTCCGTCCCGTTGAGCGTGACTCACCCTGTATATATATATATATATATATATATATATATATAATATATATATATACTATATATATCTTTTTTATTGGCTTTGGGTAGTTTGATCTATTCAGCCATGAAATATAATAAATACTGTTTACAATATTAAATATACACACTTATGCACGCACATAGAAATATAGTAAATTAAGACTTTATTAAGCGTACACAATAAGAGCTAATTGAGGTAGCATTAGTAATTCACGTCTTTATTAAAGCACCTTGTTATACACTATATTTTTCGTTTTGTTGGCAGGTGCCAGACTGAATAAAGTAGATTTTTGCCTAGATAAGAATATGCTACGTACAATTGACTTGAGCGAAAACTATTTTGTGTCCACTAATATTTAAGAGTAGGCTTGTGATTTATTTATGAGCATAGCGAATGAAAGACGAATCATATATTGAATTCATTTAAATTCAAATTTCGTATTCGTTGGTATCATGTGAATTCTCGAAATAGTAACTTCCTCATCTTAAAATTTTCCTTTTGAGTATCGTCGCATCTAGTATGTTGTCCATGAGTTTTTTCATCACTAAACTCAATCCGTTACATAGTTTTGGTTGGTTAAGAGTTGTAAGCATAATGACGATCAAGTCTCTTTAGTTGTAATTTGTACTATGGTGATCCAGACAAACCCAATCTTAGTTTAAAAATTCAGTGGGACATTTGGTTGCGTCTAAATTATCTTCATTCCTATTCTTAGCTTCTAAAATTGTTCCATTGTAAAAACAATTATAATTTTTGTAATTAGAAATAATGTTCGGGAACAGTTTGTTATTCTCTGAGACGAAATTGCAATAATTCAATAAAAATGAAATCAATAAGCTTTTATATAGCGCTAAAGAGTTTAGGATTTTAGGCAAGTGTTTCATTTGCAGCAGTCCATCTTGGGAATTAATGGTAGTGATCGAAAAAATCTCCAGACAGTAAAATTATTCGCCTCCAAACCAAACACAAGAATAAGGAAAATAATGGACTATTTCAAGTTCGTCATTAATTGCCTTCATTAGCTTATCGTATAACTGTTACTGTTTATGATTTAACATGGCTACATTCGTTTAAACTCATTTGTTTAATATAACTCGATCATAGTCACTTTTACGTTCCAATTTCGCCAATCTAGATTTCGATTCCTCGAAATAACATAAATTTAAGAAATAACATGAATTTAATCTAAAATTTCATCTGACGTGGCATCCAATTCTTGCTTTACAGTCGACGAGAATTCGATTAGAAGTATGTGGAAATATTTATTTAAAATAATAAGAGTATCTTACTTGGAGATGAATCCCTAAAACTTTTCTCAGAATCATTCATACACGAATTTACAAGAACTGTGAATTTCAGATCAGTAACACTCAATTCGGATTTCGAAATTGATTGGGAATACAAGAAGCTTTTTTGCCTTAATTGTGTTAACACAAAGATGCAGCTTAAATGTAGATGTATATACATGTTTTATTGATTATCAAAAAGCGTTTGATTGCTTTAACCATTAAAAGATGATTGAAATTCTGAGAACAACTAGAATTGACGAACAAGACTTGCGAATTATCTCAGAACTATATAGGCACCAAACGGCAATAATTAAAATAGAGCACACGAAAATAAACGGATCCGACGAGGAGTGCGACAAGATTGCGTCTTATCACCACTATTATTTAATCTGTATTCGGAATATATATTCATAAAAGCATTAGACGAGGTTCAGGGTAGAATTAAGATTAACGAAACTAGCGTAGATAACATCAGGTACGCTGATGATACCGTCCTATCATACCAATGCGGTAGTTTGTCATAGCGAAATGTTCAGTTGATAGCTAAATGTTTCCAAAACTAAAATTCTAGTATTTTCAAACAAAAGATAACAACAAACTTACATTTGTACGGATAAATAAAATAACAGATAACTTTTATAAAATATTTGGGAGCAAATATCAACAGCCAGTGTAACCCAAAACAAAAAATTTCGTCAAGAATTCAACAAGCGAGGAAAACACTCAGAAAAAAAATAATTAGATCAAGCCTTAGTCTAGAGCTCAGAATTCAAATGATCAGATGTTACCTGTGTTTGCTGTATGGCTATGAAAGTTGGACAATGGATTCTGAAACAGAAACAAGAATAGATGTCTTTGAAATGTATATATACAGACGGATGCTGAGAATGCCATGTATACAAAAATGGTGAAGCACTTGGACACGTAAGTAAACAAAAATAATTACTCACCCTAATCAAAAAGAGAAAATAAAATACTTGGGTCATGTGTTGAGAAGGGAAACATATAAATTACTCCAAATCATATTGGAAGGTAAAGTGCATGGCAAAAGATCAGTTGGTAGACGCCAGAACTCGTGGCTGAAAGAATTGAGAAATGATTTGATCGCTCATCCACAGAAATCTTTCGTGCAGAAGTTTCCAAAGCTACAATTGTCATTTGAGTTGCCAACCTTCGAAATTAGACATCGCAATAAGAAGAAGACTTGTAGATACAAAAACTTCATTAACTCTATCTGAATTTAGAAAAGTTAATATAACTAAGAAAGCAACTTACAACATTTGTTAATATAACGCATTTTATTTAAATATATCTTGTTTCCTTCATTGGATATTGTCGTTTTAAATGTATTTACTATATATACTTTTACGCCTAGTAGATATTTTAATCAAGTATTTGCAATTCTAAATTAAACCATTTGCCAGTAAACTTTAACTACAAAACTACCTATCCATCATTTTTATTTCAGGTAACTATATTCCAAGAGTGCCAACCAGAATTTTTAAGGGATTTAGTCCTAAAAATGAAAGCATATATTTTCACACCGGGCGATTCGATATGCAGGAAAGGAGAAGTGGCTCGTGAGATGTTTATCATCGCTGATGGTATACTGGAAGTGATCAGCGAACACGGAAAAGTCCTAACAACGATGAAGGCTGGAGACTTTTTTGGAGAAATCGGAATATTAAATTTGGATGGATTAAACAAGTAAGTATGATCCCTAAATAAACCTAAAAGTAAAAATAGTAATAAAATATATTTAGTTAGATCCAAATAGAATATATTGGTTTCTCCACCATTAAACCTGAATTAATCAATTTTTAAATTACTAATCTAAAAATTACCTGTTCATAATTTTTTGACATTTCAGTGAGGTACCTAATATTTAAAACTGCAAATGGGCTCCATTCTGTAAAACTAAATTAAAATTGGAATTCTACTAGTTTTAAACCGTAAGCCAGCAAAATCGCTCCCCGTAAGGTTGATTTGTTGGTGAAAAAAATATTAGGGTAGTAATAAATTAGTTAAAAATGGACGAAAAAATATATCATAGGCAAAAAGTTTTTTTTCCGAATTCTGCTAGCTTGAACCTTAAGCCAGCAGAATCGCTCCCCTTAAGGTTGGTTTGGTGGTGAAAAATTATTAGAGTGGTAATAAATTAGTGAAAAATGGGTAAAAAGATATTACATAGGTTAAATTGTATTCCGCTCGTTTGTCCCCGCTAGCTTCAGTATCTTCTTATTTAGTATTTTTCTGCAGAGTGCTGTGAAAAACGGTAATTGAAGTCAACATAAATAGGGAGTTTCTGATCTGATCTGATCAGGTAGATCATGAATGCCAACTTTTTCAAGACTTTCAGAGCTCTTTTATACGAGTTGGTCTAAGAATTAACTTTTCCAAAACACAATACATGACAAAACTTTTACTGGCTAAAAACATTTTAAATAATAGCAAACAAATTGAACCATATCAACCATGGTAAACATAATTTACAGCAATAAGTATCTGGGTCACGAGAATAAATTAAAAAGATACAATCAAACAACAAAGTTAAACAGAAGAATAGAACTAACATGGGCAGCTTACGGAAAACTAACGAAAGTCTTTAGAACTGATATTCTGATGTACTTAAAAAGAAAGGTCTTTGATCCATGTATGCTCTAAGTTTTAACATTGACTCTTACCAGAAAAGTAATCAATAAGGTACACGTGGCAAAGAGGCCACTGGAGAGGCCAATGTTAAATATATTCCTCAGAGACAGAGCTTTAAATCAAATCATCATCATCATCCAGCCGAATTTTCACATCCATTGTTGGATATAGGCCTCCTCCAAACGTCTCCAGTTCTCTCTATCTCTAGCTGCTGCAATCCAGTTTGTTTCTATCCTCCTTCGGTCGGTCCATCGGGTGGGTGGTCTGCCTCGACTTCGCTTGTCGGCTCTTGGTCTCCACTCCAATAATCCCTTCGTCATCTTCCGTCTTCCATTCTAGCAACATGTCCAGCCCACCTCCACTTTTGTTTATTGATTCGCAGTATAATATCGTCTACGCCAGTTCGTCGACGTATCTCCTCATTTCTTACGCGATCTTTCAAGGTCAGGCCCAGCATTGATCTCTCCATTCGCCTTTGTGTTACCCTCAGTTTTTCGGCAGCAGCTTTCGTTAAAGTTAAGGTCTCTGCTCCGTAGGTCAAGACTGGTAAGATGCATTGGTTAAATGCCTTCCTTTTCAAGGGAATTGGGATATTTGTTTTAAAAAATGTCTCTCATCCGTCCATATGCCGCCCATCCCAACATGATTCGTCTATTTAGCTCGCAGGTTTGGTTGTCTCTGGTTATTCTAATTTCATGACCCAAGTATGTGTATTTATCGATTAATTCTACCTTGTTGTTATTGATCTGTATCTCTTCGCTGGGAACCATATTGGTCATCATTTTGGTTTTCTTGAAATTTATCTCCAGCCCAGTTTCTTGTAGTATGCCATTCAGTTCTTGGAGTATGTCTTTGATCTCTCCCAGATTATCTGACAGAAGCACGATATCGTCCGCAAAACGTAGATGGTTTAATCTTTCTCCATCGATCGATATTCCTTTCTGTTGCCATGTTAGTTTTTTAAATGCATACTCAAGAACGGTAATGAACAGCTTTGGTGACATGGTATCACCTTGCCTGACTCCCCTTTATATCTTTATTTTATTAGTTGCAGAATATAGACTTATGGTTGTTGTGGCATTTTCATATATATTTTTAATTATATTTACAATATCTGTGGTCGATCCTGCAATCTGTAGTGCTCTTAAATGGACGGTAGTTCCACTGTACCAAACGTCCTTTTTAAAGTCTACAAATATCAATGCCAAGGGACGGTTATATTCGTTAGTTTTTCTATTAGGGTTTTTTAGGCACTGCAGGTGATCGTTTGTGCCGTAATTAGGGCGGAAACCAGCTTGTTCCCGAGGTTGGTAAAAATCCAGCTTTGTCTCTAATCTATTCGTTATTATTCGGGTGTATAATTTATAAAGATGGTTAAGGAGACTGATTGGTCTGTATCTTTCCAGGTCTGTTCATATCTCCCTTCTTGTGTAAGAGTACAGTTATTGAATTATTCCACTTTGTTGGGATATTTTGATTCCATAGGCATAGATTAAAGAGCTTTTGAATTTTGGCCATCAGTACTGAGCCTCCTATCTTTATCGCTTCAGTGACGACACCGTCCTCCACCGGAGCTTTGTTATTCTTCATCTTTTTAGGGCCTTGTAAATTTCTTACAAGGAGATTTCTGGAATATCTTCGGAAACTTGATTTTGAACCTTCCTCTGTTGATATTCGACTATATCTAGAGTCGATTGGTTGCTATATAATGTCTCATAGAATGATTCCACAATTTGTAACAAATGTTCTCTGTTTGATGTGATGTTGCCATTTTATCCTTGAGTTTGACTATTTGTTTATTTCCATTTGTGAGTTTGCGTCTCATTATTTTTATACTCTTATTTTCCTCAATGGTTTTGATGATATTCTCATCTTTGTATTTTCTTAAGTCTTTTCTGATTTCTCTGATACTTCCTTGTTCATTCTATTTATATCGTCATTACTAGAGTTTTCGTCGCTTCTCAGTATTCTTTTTGTTCCATTTTTTTCTGTGTTTCCAGACTAATTTTTTCTTCTTTCACGCTTTTTGGGCAGCATTTCTTTTGAGCTTCTGTTATGGCTTCTAACTATTATGTGATTTAGAATGTTAATATCATTTGTTGATGATTTTTCTTGAAGGAATTTACCGATATGATCTTCAAAATTTTGTTCGTTGTTGGATGTGTCCATCTGTTTATTTGCTTCTTTTTTATCATATTGTGCCGTTCATAGTTGGTATTTAACACAATGGTGGCTCTCACCATACGATGGTCGCTTGATTTCGCAAATTTATTTAGCACTGTCACATCTGTAAATATGTATCTTTTATCAGTGATAAAGTAATCGATCTCGTTTGTCGTGTGTAGTAGTAACTGTTCATTAGGAATAGGTTTTTCTCTAGTAGGAAGTTTAAAGAGTGTCGCCACGGTCGTTCCGTCCCTGACTTCCAAAATTTCACCTCGCCTTCTCACTTCACTAACTCCGACGATGTCCTATCTGATCTTTTCTAATTCTTCTTCCATTTCTTTAAAGCTTTTCATCAGAAAGTAGAGTTCTAGTATTCATGGTTGCAATTTTGAGAACTGTTTGTTTTATAAAGCAGCTCTTGTCAAAATTTGTGTCCCCCCCAGAAACCTTGTAAGGGTTTTTTGGCTAAGTTCAATGCCACGCGACTCCACTGCTTGTTGGCAAGGTTTCCGTTTCAGCCGCCACTCTAGGAACAGACGCTGTTTGCAGCCGCCCACTCTGGGTCAGGACGCAGCTGTTGTCGCAGTATCACAGCCGCTTAACTCATAATGTGAGTGACGCCTGTGAGTATCTGGAATTAAGCCTACAGATTTTTACTTCCCATAGCCTTAAATCCAGTAATTACATTACTGCTGCCTAATGTCATATCCTCAGTTGATCCGCGGGTACTTATTTGGCAATGCCTTATTCGTACCTGTCCATGCATATCTGCAGGAACTTTCCCTATCAGCCATATGGGACGTGCCGTGTCGAGGTTGAGGACATCCCCGTCCAGTCTGTCTTCCGTGGAGTACAGAAGAGCCTCTACTCAGTTCAGAGCTCCTCCTCCACGAAAGCTAAGACCAGCACGGTTAAATCAAATAGTTAGGAGAAAAACTGGAGTTAAGGATGCAGTTAAAAGAATTACAACGCTAAAATAAAACTGGACATAGCATGATGCCATGGTTAAAGATGAAAGATATACCAAGAAAATTTTAGAATGAACGGACTTCCTCCAACAAGGTAATCGGACGACGTCAAGCTCATTGGATTCAGCGTGCTCGATATAAGATGCAATGGAAATATTTACGGAGGACTATGTTTAGCAGTAGACTTAAACGGCTGATGATAATGATGTTGTACGTTCTACCGTACCTTTTACGGTAGACAAACTCAACGAAGCGATTAGTGCCCTAAAGACACGAAAGACTCTATGGAATACCACCAGGAGCGGTGAAACGCATTGACAGTATGTAGCCGACGTGGCTATTGGACCACATGAATGTACTGCTTAAAACTCAGCGATTTCTGGCAAATTGGAAGATCTCGAGGCTCGTGCTACTCCCAAAGGGGGAAGATAAGTATTGGTCTGTTTGCCTTTTGTCGTGCATAGGTAAATTATACGAGAGACTCCTAAGAGGGCGAATAGACACATTGATTGAAGAGTCAGGCGAGCTATCACTCAGGCAATATGGTTTCAAAAAGAACAAGATCACGATGGATGCGCTGATGGAAGTCTTCCGGGAGCTACGCTGGGGTGTAGGTTAACCAGAGGTGGGCAATCCTACAATGTCCGGAATGCTTTCAACACATTAAAATGGAAAGAGGTAATAAAGGCTCTACGAGAGAGAAGGTGTCCGAGTTACTTGATGAGTTTGGTCTAAGACCATTTATCAGAGAGGAAAATTGCGGTTGACGTGACGGTTGCAGTACCGCAGGGGTCGGTAGTAGGACCCACGCTGCGGAGTTTGCATATAACGGGGTTGTGAGTCAACAATACGTAGAGGGTGTAACCCCTTTCGCATTTGCGGACGACTTCGTTATGCTGGTAGTGGCGCGGGACAGGGAGAACCTTATCTTTAGTGTACACCGTACATGCAACCAAGTCGAGGAATTGATGAAAATGCATGAGCTAGAACTGGCTGCAGGTAAAACCAAGGCTATTGTTCTTAAGGGACCTAGGAAAAGAGACGGGATAACATTCGAATGCACAGGAAAGAGTGTGGTTCCAAAGAAATGCGTAAGTATTAAGGGGTGACTCAGAGTTAAAACGGAAAGTGGGGGAAGCCCGTAAAAGCGGTGACTCAAAGAGCTGCGGTAAGATCTGGGTGGGATCATGCCCAATATCGGAGGGCCCTTTATTTTGTTGTGCATTCGATCGTCCTCTAAGCTGCGCCTGTCTGAAGTTTTGCAGTTCATAACAAAGTGATGGCACGTTCCGATGCACGTGCATAGTGAAGGAAAGAGGAAGAATATACGAGAGAAGAAATGAATGACATGAAGACATAGCAACAGAACGTTAAAAAAAAAGAAAGGGAGAGGTCCATAATGGTGTGGCAAGAGAAATGGGAGAAGATGAGAAAGGTGGCGCACTGGACGAATTCGTTGATTGCTAATCTGAGAAGATGGATGGATTGCGGACACCGGTGTTTGAATTATTTCCTGACGCAGATACTCACAGGACATGGTTGCTTTGGGGCATACCTTTACAGATTTGAAAATGACATATGCCTGTGAAGTGTATTGTGAAATATCGGACACTGTCTCACAAAACTCTATTAGTAAGCGATAGGTGGATAGGTGAGGGGAGTCTGCTTGGGATAGAGCTAGGAAGTAGGGTGCAATTAGTCACGAAACTAATGGGTGAGATGCTTAGGTCATCAGATCGGTGGGGAACAGTTTAGAGATATGCGGGGAGAACATTGAAAAAAATGGAGAAGAATGGCAACCCGACGGGAGGCAGGCTGTCCAGGACCAAGCAAGAAGATAAGGCAGAAAGAGAAGGGGTGAGATTAAACATTAACGGGGAGGAATAGAGGGAGAAAAGAATTCCGTCGTAGTAAGAACGTGCTAGAATGCGTAAGAGTTGTGCGTGAATGAAGGATCCAGTGAATCCGTGCCGATGTTTTGTCCCAATCATGGCGATCCGGCCGGTAATTCACCGCTGAGAAGGGTATTTTTTGTAGATAGGTCGTTTTGCATTGACGCCGATGGTGTACGAACAACTCTAGCGCGCGACCTCGGATATCATCGTGGACACGATGGAGAAATCCTGCAAAACTGACGCTGGAAGGCGGTTCTGCCCACCTTCTAGGACCGAGGTATGTTTCGAACATTTGGAACATCGCCCATGTCACCAACAATTTGGTGCCTTGAAGTCACTTCTTCTTCTTTCATGTGCCTTGTCCGTTCCGAACGTTGGCAATCAACATGGCTATTCTGACTTTGGCAGATCTGAGTAGTTCAGCAGATGACAATCCGAACCGATTGCCGCAAGTTTTGAAGCCACGAGTGTCTTCTCCTTCCTGGACCCTTCTGCTGTCTATTTTTCCCTTGAACGATCAGCTGTTGTACTCTATATTTATTATGTCTCATAACGTGACCCAAGTATTCCAACTTTCTTTTCTTTATACTTATTCCTACCTCTTTCTCTTTACCTATCCTGCGTAGTACCTCTTCGTTGGTCACGTGCTCAGTACAGGATAAACGTAATATACATCGGTAAGCCCACATTTCGAAGGCCTCTACTTTTTTCATTAATGTTGCATTCATTGTTCACGCCTCCATTCCATATAACAAAACCGGGAATACATAACATTTCAGAAGTCGAATTTTGAGAGGTAGGGTGAGGCTTTTAGAGGTGAAAATTTGCTTCATGCTAGTGAACGATGCTCTTGCCTTTTCTACTTTTATACGTATTTCCTTCGCCTGATCCCAATTTGAGTTAACTGTTGTTCCCAAGTAGATGTACGAATTTTGTCGAAAATGTACGAATGAAGTCACTTAGTCCTAGATAACGGGCAACTTTCAGGTCTTTAGATTAAATTAGAGGCCAAGATATTAGCAAGTTTATATTTCGAGCCTTACACAGAACTAACAGCTTGATCGACAGCAAATATTTTGTAGCAATATATTACTAGAGTCTTGTATGCTTTAAAGGTTTTGACCAAATTTACCAACTGGTATTTATACCACTTTTTTCACTTTCGTTTTCGTAAAAAAAAACTATTAACTATGACGCTCCAAGCAGCAAAAAGCAATACGAGTTAAGCAACAATATAAAAGTTTGAAATTAAACTGAATGTTAAAACTAGATCTGAGGTGAAGATGAGGTGAATCAACTGCTTAATATTCCCAATACTGACCTACGGATGTGAATCTTGGACTCTGAGACAATCGGAGAGAAGAAAGATAGACGCCACTGAAATGTTCTGTTGGAGACGAATGTTACGAATTCCTTGGACGACCGCAGAACAAATAATTCAATTTTAAGAGAGCTAAAAGTTAGCCAACGACTCTCTAGTAAAGTCCATCTCCAACAAATTAAAATATTTTGGGCATTTTATGAGAGCAAACACAGAAAACATGGAAAGACTCATAATACAAGGACGGTAGAAGGCCGAAGATCACGAGGAAGATCCCAACAAGATGGATAGATCAAATTACAAGAATATGCCAAAGACTTATGCATGAATTAAAAGAAATGACCAGAGACAGAGATCTCTGGAGACGGACAATACACGACATTACGTCGACCACTACACTCCCCCTGGGGGGTCAGGATTGAAGAGAGAGAAAACTAGATCTAGAAGCTTGATAAATAAATTTGATGGCTCCGCCTACCATTAAGTAATATATGCCGTATTTATATTTCTTAAATGATTGAGTTTTATTACATTTTATTGAATGTGATTTTATCATTGACGATTAATGAGAAAATTCTGATGATAAGTAGTCTTTTAGGAGAACCGACACTTTCAATATTCACTTTAATACACGAAAATATTAAGAGTAGTATTGCCTTGGCTATAACTTTTTGTCATGGTCAAACTGTTTGTTTGTTTTTTTTTTAATTTACATATTTTTATTTGTCGTTTTATTTTAGGAGAACAGCTGACGTAAGATCGGTGGGATATTCGGAGCTGTTTTCTTTGTCCCGTGAAGATGTTTTAAACGCAATGAAAGACTACCCGGAAGCTCAAGAGATTCTTCAAGCTTTAGGTAGGAAGAGGCTGATGGAGGTCAAAGCGTCAGCGCGTAACCCACCTAACAAAGACCACCATCACGGACACTTTCACGGCACAGAAAAAGGACTCGTTGACAAAATTAAAAGTGAAGCTAAGGTATGATTTTAGTATTATTTTTGTTGCTAAAAATAGTCACAATTCTAAATAATTTTATTGATAACTGGTTAGGGATCTAGTGTTAAAGTATTGTGTCAAATTTGAGGAAGAAATTTGGACTTACGAAGAAGCGGTGGACTCTATATTCATTAAGTTATAAAAATTCCTTAAATCCACTTTGCTTTCTGGTATAGGTAAAAAATTTATTTTAGTATTCAACACATATCTTGCTAGGAACTGGGGTAATGTAGATCTTTATCATATCGGACAAGGACAATCTGGATGCTTTTAATTCCTAATAACCGTTTTACTGCATGAATTTTTATTTTTTCTAAAAAATAAATTGCCAGATAAGAATTCTATTCTATTCTTACGTAAAAATATTTAAAAAAATCTAGCTACGAGGAAAACTTTATTGACAAAAAAAAATTTTTGGTGCCAAATATGGAACATTATGCAACAATCTAATATTATAGTCTACAGTGTATAATGTAAACTATACAGTATGAAACTGCCAATAACAGTTTTTTTCTTTATTAATACACAGCGGTATTGTGCATTTTGTGCACACTTTCTTCGATTGAACGAGATAAATTCGGAACATACGAAATATATGTGTTTCGGCTCAAGTCCACTCTATGTGGTTGGCCAACAAAAGGTTGTCAAATAATTATATTATAAAAATCCAATACATCAGCTGGCTGCTGGATTCTGAACTCATTCAAGAACAAGTCAAAACTCAACCCAAATAGGTTGCCCCGGCCATAACGTATAAAAATTGAAAGCTAACACATAAATCTAGGATTTTATTATGCTGTCAAACCACATATCGCTTCCTAAAGCCGGCCACTCACGGTACAGTGATGTCGTTCGACGTTCTCGACCATTTCAAATCAAACAATCATTTTAGCGTCTCTTACTTTGTGTATAACTAAGCGTAAAAAGAAACCTAAAATAAAACGTAGAGATTCTGGTGCAAAGAATCCAAGATTTTGGTGCCAAATAATCTCGTCTGCCCCTGCACCCAATTTACTGAACTACAATGCTAATTTTAATTCTCTTTTATAGGATGTTCTAAAATTGTTAATTTTTTTTTCTTACATACTCTTCATGTTTATACTCATACTGTTTTCGGGCATTTCTATCGTGATACGTTTTACCTTTTATTCGCTATAAGCATTCTTGTTTTTTATATAATTCAAAAAACTCTCTTAAAAAATTCTCGCTAAATCAAGCTATGTCGATTTTTCTATAATAGCAGTATCGACAAATTGCAAACGGTCACACACGGTCAACAAATTGATGAGATCAACTCTGCAGTACTGAAGCAGACAGGCCAGTCTATCTGCGGTCAAATTGTACGATTTCATTGGATGCATGGTTACACACGATCAAAATCCTTGTCAATTCGTCAAACTCGACGAAGTTGAACAACGCCGCTGTATCGTGAGTGGCCGGCTTTAGGCATTCGTTTATTTTATTTTTATTTAAGCAGTCAGTTGGATATTTTGAGCGGTGTTGCCAATCTCATTCCTCTAGATGTTTCTCAGATAAGGTGTTAACCATAAAATATTTACAGGAGAGAAAGGAAATAACTGCAAACTATTAAGTTTATTTTTGTTATTAGTCTGTTGTAGTAGATTGGTAAATACAATGAAAATATAGGCAAATATCTGATTTATTTAAAGATACGAAGAAGATATAACTCTCAAAAAGATCCGCAAATCTGATTATTACACGGCGATTGGCAACATTGACTTTGAGCGGCAACATAGACTATGGTGCGCCCTAAAAGGAGACAGATAGTTGAACGATATTTTATGTCTATCCAATGTCTAGTTCTATGTCAATGTTTAAGTTTTATATTGGTCTACTATTTCAAATGCAGTTCAAACAGACATATATTAAATTGTATGATACGTTTTAAATTCGTTCAATCTGTATGTTTTCCTTGTACAGCCTGGAAATTTGCATCTTCACCTAGTGCTCTCATCTCATTAGGGAAAATGATCAAGCCCATCTTAACGGATGTCTTCTTGGGGTATTTCTTTAGTGAGATTTCTATTTCGTTTGTTCTCGTACATCTGCTGAATGCTACTACTTGACGGTCTTCCTACTCTTTTCTGTTTAGTTGATTTTCCGGCTTTGCATACAGCATCGGCTATTGCTAGTTTGGTATACAAAATGGATAAATCAAATTTCTTTGCTCTTTTGGCTAATAACCAACAGTTCACGGCTGCCATGTCAATGAAATGAAATATATTCGTAAATAATATTTCTTCGATCTGATTGTTATACGATAAAATCATAACATATAATCAAGGAGATCTACACCTCCGTGTGGTTGATGTAGATTAGGACAACTGTTAGGACAAGGTATCATTTTTGACACTTTCTTGTTTAAAAAATCTTCTTTTTTCTTCCTTTGGTTTTACTTCTAGCATATGTTAAGATTGTAGTAACGATTTTTTATCAAACCAGGACACTACACTAGACATCCACATTGTCTTTTATTGAGTATTTTCTCCAGCATAGAACCTCTGCTGCGCATTCTTCATTTCTTTCTCAGCTGGCATCACAACTCCAGGAACACGATTAAGCCTACTGTTCCCAAAGGTAAAATGCTCTCCTTAATCAGAAATACCTTAAGAGGTATGCTGGTGTAACCAATTGTCAAAAACAACTTGTAATGTTGACAGTTTTGGTATGGAATCTGCTAATTTGACAACGATGTTTCTACAGCTAGAAATTCTTCTTCGGAACCATGAGTAGTCGTTCTTTGATTTATCTGAAAACAAGTCTAATTTTGAATAATCTCACATGTCCAGGCTGGATCATTTTTAATCATGTCATCATTGTTATTGAAATGCAAGAAACGGATTATATTTCTTCTAAATCTTTACAGCTCATTACATCTAGCAGTTCGGTGGCTAATATTGTCATTTCAATAGTGTCTTGTTGATGGAAGTTGAATTTATCTGACATGTAAATATTAATTCCTATAAATTGTTCGATTTCATATATATTTTATATTAGCTGGTTTTTCTAATTGTAAAATCGAAGAAGGTAAATTTTCAGAACCAGTAAATTTGTATCATTTTCTGATCTTCTCCGATTTTCTTTCACCCAATTATGAGATTTCTTGCTTTCATATCTTAGTCTTTTAGACTAATGGGTATTATTATTTGAGAATCTAAGGATGTGGCAGAAATGACAGTTTCCTTGACATTGTTTCGTAAATTTTCACGCTGCTCATTGTCACTATTGAGCGAAGATGCAGGTTGGTGTTTGTCCTTACACCTTGTCCTAATGGCATTGTTTCGCGCACCAGTCATAGGTCGCTGGTTTTTTTCCTTGGGGAACAAGGTTTTTGCTTAGGAAAATAGGTTCACTTTATATTGTTTGAAGGACCACCAGAAGACAGGGACAAATGAAAGATTCGAAAAGAACGTTTTAACAAGTCTATTTAAACGATTACAACGTATTTAGACGCCGATAACTTGCATACGCTTGCTGATTTATGAAACTAAACTTTATGAAACTATAAAACTAGATAACTTTTCGGTGATACAATATTGACACGAACTGATTGACACGAACTTATTAATATACCGATTGGTTTAAAACTTCTGAATGCCGCTGGGGCGAATAGAGCCTAGCTCTCTTTCGATGCTGGAATTTGAACTGAATACTGGACTGACTTGAACTGCTAAGTGATGTCCACTCTCTCCCTTCAATCAACTCAGCTTGTAATTGTTGTTAACATTCAGAAATCTCCCCCCTGAGCCCCTCGACGTATTTTAAGGATATGTTTACATTTCAAATACCTCCGAATATTAATTCATTGATCAGAACTACCTGAGAAGGGTATTTGTCTCAACTTTCGGAATTTTCGATAATTTGGAAAATACTAATCCCTTCATTGTTACGATTCTATGAAGGTTTTAGAAACTTGTGTAGAAAGTTATTTAAATGCAAGCTATCGGCGCTTTACATATTATTAGTTGGTACAAAGAAATTTTATAAATCTAAACTACTATACAGTATGATGTAATAATATGATACAAAAATAAACTAAAATATTAAATATTGTTGTTACGCAACAACTATCTTGACACAATATTATCTCATTTATGCCGTCTTCATCGGAGAGATCTGATTCTTCACTATTAGTACTATTTAGAATTCTAACTGCATTCATTTTACCATAAAAGAGTTTCGGATCCATGTCTACAAAACAATCAATAAGTCAATAACTTAATAGGGTACCATATATATGGGAAACCCTTTTTGGCGTTTTCTACAGACTTTTAACATTCTTAATTCTTAGTACTTATCTAAGCAGATATCTAATACTAGAATACAATAAATTTCAATTTTTCTCGCCGCAAAAAACGTTTTTACTATGGAAAATAACCTCTACTTCGAGCACTGTTTCATGTGGTCCAGAAATTCAATAAGAATGCTCTTGAAACTGCGCACGGTTGCCTATCTCGCCGTCAGAACTATGCCGCAATCTCGCATACACTACTAGTACGTGTCAGATATGGGCTGCCATGCAGCTACGACAAAAATTGAGTTAAAACATTAATTTTTTTTTTTTGGTTTGTGCCATTTATGGGACATGATGCAGTGAAGGGTTAACCAACCCGAAAAATAAATATTAGATGTATTAATACGTAAGCCAATGTACAGTAAAAGTTATTTTTTTAGCATAACGGCCGTTGGTTATGCGCAAACAAACTGGATTATCCTAATGTTGCTACGCCACTGCTAGCAAACAATTTCTTATTTCATAAGACCAACCCAGTTAACTATCTCCGAGTAAATTCCAAATAAATCGCTGGTATAAAGTATTTAAAAGCTGTTTTTACCATTAAAAACTGTTACCTAGAAATCCCGGTTAGCAATCATTCAAAAGAAGGTTTTAGCTAGGTACTTCAGATATGTCACTAAAGCAGTGATCATTAAAAGTAGTCACGTAGTCAGTAGGTATTTTCGGGTTCTAAAAATTTGTACTGTCACCAAACAGTTTTGAAACTGCGCCGACGACTTGCGTAGTAGTATAGATTTATAAATCATTTTAAAATGATCCTAGAACTGTTAGCATTTTGCCAAAACACGAACATGTATAGCGACAATTAAATGACATAAAACAGCTGTTTGTGAATGACAAATGATTATGTTCGAAATATTTTATTTTCTGTGGTATGTTGTATGACAATAGAATAAAATAGTATAAAAAATGAGAAATTGAAAAGAAAAAGTTAATTGACAGGAGAATAGAACTACAATTCTTAGAGAGTATTTAGATATGATGAAAAAACATAATGTTGATAATTTATAAAATGTATAATATTAACGTTTTGTTTAGTCCTAAATTTTTCTATGTTCTTGATATTTAAGTTACTTCAGTTGGAAATTAGGGTCCTTTTACAGAGGTTCTGCTCCGCCTATTTGATAAAATTTGATATACATTTTTTTTTGTTGTTGTTGATCATGAATCTAGATGTCATTTTCTGCGGAAACGCTAAATATCCGAGATACAGCCTTTTTAAGTTGTATGGGAAAGGTCACCTTCTCATACAACTAAAAAAGCTCTACCTCAGAAACTAGGCATTTCCATGGAAAAATATGTCCAGATTTGTGTCAAACAACCTGAAATCCTTACGTATACAAAGTTTTATCAAAATCGGAGTGAATAAGAGCTTCTGTAAAAATCCGAAATTGGTAAAAGCTAGAAATTCAGTACTTGAAGTGCTGAAACACAAACCAACCACACTATTTAATGCATAAAGTTGTTACCCAGTAAAAAACCACTCACACAACCAAATAAGGTTTAATACCCTACACCTTTACTTTGTATTAAAAAGCACATTAACGTTACTGTATCCTTGATTTTAATCGTTCGTTTTAATACAGGCTATAGTTTTATAGTTCCACTCAATTATTTGGGAACTTATTTGTGGTCAAAGCTTTAATTATTTTATCAGTAACTTGTTTTCTCAATTCAACATACTCTACTGTGAACAGTTTATATTGTAACTCGATACATAAATTCTATGCAGGACTGATCACTTCCTCATAGGTATAGTTTTTTACTAAACCTAACCTGTTGTAGATTTATGGGAAATTATTAGTAAATTTTAAATATGATTCTAATATCACTTTTATATGACTTTCCTTGAAAAAGTTAAAAGCTATTAAAATATAATGAATATTAAGTAGTGTCCCATATTTTAATCTTGTAAAAAAATTGTAAGTGAATAAATTAGTAAAATTAAACAGGTAATATATTATAAAAGTTTAGCCAATATTCTATCAATTCTTTAATTTTCTCGTAATTGTAAAATAAACATTTTTTATCACAGTTTTCAATTTAAAAGATTTATACAAAATTTTTTCTAGTACAGAAAAAGTTCATCTCTGAAATTATTTATTTATATTATTCTATTATGCTGTATATTAATTAGGTATGTATAAATTAAAATTCTGACTCTGATTCCAACAGTACATTTATTATTGAGTCCATTTTTAATAAAAAGCACTCGAAAATCACTGAAATTACTATTAATTAATGCAAACGACTACTACCTATCAATCAACAACAAGCACAAAATCATTCTTTATACTGTGTCATAACTGTCAATTTTGAAACGAACCGCGCACAGCCTCAAAAAATCCTGAAATAATCAGACCTTTTAACAAAAAACCGAATTGATAGTTTTAAAACTGTCCACAAACAGCATCAGATTTTAACTCGAACACCAATCTTCGATTCTGAACAGTTTTAAGATGATCCGAAATAAACCCGAACATTTATATTTCATTCTGCGCAAACTCCTGGACGGTTGTCAAACAGTCCAAGGCAAAAACCCGAAAACACCTCAGTGTCACTTTGTATCCCAGCTTAGCTGGTCGCGTCTTGATTAGAGTTTTCAATTCTCGCATATTAGTCAGTGTGAGTTTAGTATTCGATCAAAGGGATCGACGAATTTTCTGGTTTAAGAGTTTTAGACTCTCGCGTAATCGCGAATTTTATTATTAACATATTTAAACTGTAACAGTGCTCTAGTGTGATGTATCGTGGACTCGTGTAAATTAGACAGAGATCGGCGGTTTAGATATAAAAACTCGACGCCAAAAACTCCGGCTAGATCTTAACTTAGTTGTAGTAATAAAGTAAATCAGTAAATTACGTATTGTTCATTACTTGTGTTTTTATTTTCCATTATTAGTAAGTGGTACTTCGATTTAAAATTAATTACATTACCTAGTCCGTTCTAAATGGTAACAAGATCACCATCCGAATTTGTGCTACAAATCTTTCGTTTATTTCTACCACAAACTAAATACATAAACCTAAATTAAAAAACAAACGAAAAATTTTAAGGTTAGTAAGACAGAAAGGAAGTAAGATGAGGTTTATAATATGAACATATCAATTTGTCATCTTAAAGCATAGAGAGAAAACGTTTAAATTAGTAATGTTGAAACAAGGGGAGAAAATGTCTGTGTTAACAAAACTCGCATATACAAAATAATAGACGAGATGGACAAATATAATAAAATGGATTTTATTTGTTCTAACATTGGTTCTTAAGGATTCTTTTAATATTATACAATAACTATTTTGTTTACAGGGTTTAAGGAACGCCTTGAAAAAGTCAAAAACTCACCGCAGGTCAGAGGAGTCTTTGGAACTTCAACCCCTTCATCCACCAAGTTATGCCAACAAAGCAACTCTAAAGAGGATGTCAAGAGTTAAATCGCATGATCTTAGCCAAGAAGAGAGCGACAGAAGGGATACGAGTGCCTCTGAACCAGCGACTTCGCCAATAGGAGCTGGTCTTCCACTTCTACAAAGATTGAAGTTAGTATCTTAATTTTCTTATAATTAAATATTTCTTTATTTATATTCATATATTTCAATATTTCACAAACAGGTTACTTAAAAAAAAATACTTAAAACACGTCAATTGCATAATAAAAGGAACTCAAGAATTAATCAACTAAACAAACATTTTTCTTAAAAACGTCATAAAACACACGTCAGAAAAATATCAGCAAATTATCAACAAACATCATGCAATTTACATATTTAACCATAAGCTGTAAGAAAAGGTTACACGACGTTGTTTTGTTGACCATAGGAATTAATATTTATTGCAATCCCGTCTCTAGAGTATATTTGATATACTGCTCTAAAACTAATTTTTTGGTAATATAATTACCTAGTATTAATAATAGCCTTAACAGCAATACAAATAAATTACCTAAGTAAATAAGTAATATGCTTTGTTACTGAAAATTGTACAAATTTTATGGGCAAAGCTTATAACAATAAGACAGAAAAAAAAAAATCAGAATAAGAATAGTTTGTACTTTTAAATAAAAAAAAAATAAAATTCTTCCGAAACTTAAACATAAAAATACTACCTTATTAAGAACCTAAAGTTAAAAAGCAGAATAATGAATTAAGGGCTCAAATATTCCACCTCCTTGTGCTAAACAGTAACCATATCTTTGAAAAATGAGAAGAATATTTCTTCTCATTTTTTTTTAGTAGGGCTGGTGTAATGCTTGCTAAGAAATGAAGTATTTTTGCCTTTAATCGACTAGGTTTGTGGCCCTTTCAAACTGATGCCTATAAATGTTTCTTTTTGAGAAAACCCAAAAAAAAAAAATCATTAGCGCAAGTCACGAGATCTAGCGGCTATTCAATTGTACCACGTGTACTTATCAGTAGATCAGAAACGTTTGATTAAGGAAGTCAATAGTTGCTCCAGAGTTATGAGCCGAACACCCATTCTGTTGGACATCCTGAAAATTAACGGAAAGGCGTCGAACTGCCGGAATGATCTCATTCTGTAAAAGTTGTAAATATTTGGGCTCGTTTAGGTTTCCATTGATAAAAAATTGACCGACAATATGGTCGTCTAACGTCCCAGTCGAACATTTAACTTTGGCGGATTTTTAATGAAAATGAAGATTCGTCAGAAAATAAAATATTTTTTAAAAAGTGTACATTTTTATTCTGTTTATCTCACAAAAATTGACAAACTTAGCCTAAAGTTTCTTCAGAAACAATTCTGTGTTGGTTTATTTTAAAACAGTGATACCAATTCCTTTTGAGATACTCGCTGGACAGATCGAGCATTCACGTTAACTTCCCTAGCAATTTGTACACTATTGCAGGTTTCACTAGCTTCCACAAAAACACAAATATCAATACCCCTGTTTTGACGCTCCTCAGTGACAGGTCTGACACGTGGTTCATTACCTTCATGACACTTTTTACAACTGTATACACATCCCGAAGTTTAAAATTGTTTAGTAGTGTTTTTAACTGTTCTAACACTTGGTGGGGATCTATTTTCGAAGGCAACAATAAATAAAGTACCATGATACAAGTTGCGTTTTTTCTTGGACGGTATACAACGTAATAGGAATTTTAATAATTATTTGTTTATTCTTTCAGAACTTCGTTTGAAATTTCTAATGTTAATGTGACAATTCGACAATTTGTACCTACTATGAAATGAATATAGAGGTGGAAACCTGTAACATGTCACAGCGATTGCCATTGTATTATATGGTCGATAAAAACAATGTCGTGATATGTATATTCAATAAAATAAAAATATATTTATATTGTCTCTAACCAAAAATAAAATAATACGTTACAATAAAAACGTATGTTTATTGACCTTTTAAATTTGAACACACATGAGTTGTAAAAAAATAAACAATAAATTTTGTGTACTAACACTCAAAAATTAAATTATTAAATATATATTACTAAAAAAAAACAGATAATGATACATATTGTCATTAATAGTCTTATACTTTAAACATATTGCAGTCTTAAAATAATTTAAATACACTCTTTAAAATTACTTTCATCAAAATTTCAATATCTCAATAAAAAAAGTTATAATTAAAGGAATATTTGACTGCAATCTGAACGATTCTTATTGGCTATTATCCGTTTTATTCCAAAATTAATGTCACAAAATTATATTGTTACATTTAGTAACACACTCATAAAAAACTAAACATAAACTCTCATCAAAAATTGATAAAAGTTACTGTCCCTAATAGCAAAAAACCATTATCATTAGACTTCGGCAAATATGCAAATAAAAATGTAGAAAATATGCGCACAAATATGCACGTGTTTACCCGAAAATATGCAAATATTTTACAAAATATGCATACAAATAAATAAAAAAATCATAAAATAGTAACAATTTTATTTAAAAAAAAAGTGTACATAACTAATATATTTCCTACTATTCATTAAGATTTACATTTATTTTAAGTAACTACATCATTTTTAAGTATGAATAAACTTATTTAGAATTATGGTAACAATAAATGACCAAGTGGTGTTCAAAATTTTCTAACAAAAACTTGTGGCTTCTGTCTGAGTACATATATTTATATAATTATGGAAAAAACTTCGTTCAACATCAACTGATGTAACGGGAGCATTTTTCAAACTAACCAAAACATTTGGTTCTAAATTAATTGTTTCCGAAATATTTCCAGCTAGAACACTGACTACTTCAGAAAGAATATGGTAACCTTTATTTTTTTCCATAGTAGCTTCAATTTTTTTTAAAATGTCTTTTCCAATATTACCTCTAACGTTCCGACAACATGACGCAAATTCTTTTATTAATGCTGTACTTTCGAACAATGACAGTTTTGGTGATTCTAACTGAGTAATTGTTTTTTGAACAAAACTAAAATTTGATTTTATAAATGAAAGTTCTTGTTGAAGCAAGTTACTCTGAAAAGTTTGTTTAGAATCCAAAAGAGATTGGGAACTTTCATCTGTTAACGTATCAATTATGCTCTTTATTTTAACAAAATGGTCTGCATAAAAATTAGCTGCTTCTAACCATGTTCCCCATCGCGTTAAAATAGGTTGTGGTGGAAGAGGAATGTTAGGTAGCATTTCTTTATAAAGTTTAATTCTTATAGGAGATTTAAGAAATACTTTTTTGACACTGGATATCATGGTATTTACAAGAGGAAACTTTTTTCGTATTTCCTCTGCAACTCTGTTTAATCCATGCGCTACACAATGTATTAAATCTGGGAAAAATATTTTAAATTTTGTCCTGCTTTCACCATATAAGGAGCAGCATCCGATAAAATAAGCAGTAATTTATTAGAAGGAATAGTTGTCGGAAGAAAAAAAGTTGCTAATGTTTCTTGTATAAAAACGCGAAATTGTTAAAGCATTTGTTTTCTCAGTTGCTGGCATGAAATAAGATGAGATTTTGGTAAGGTATCTTCTTTAAGAACACCAATCAATAAATGAGCAATATACTTTCCTGAGGAATCAGTGGTTTCGTCTACAGATATGTAAAAATAATTATCTGCAATTTCTTCCTTAATATTAATTAACACCGACGAGTATAGCCCGTTCACATTATTTCTTCTTAGAGACCGATCACTTGGAACATTAAGTTTGCAATATTTTTTTAGAAACGAACTAAAATTTACATTTGCTAATTTTGAAAGCGGTATGTTTGCAGACACTAATGCGCGACACAAGTCTTCATTAAAAGTTTCTTGCTCATCTAATTTTTTTGAAGTAGATTGGAAACATTTAGCCATTGAAGTTTGATGTTTTCCTCCTATTTTTCATTTTTTTGCAATGTGTGAAGCAGTTCTCACATGTTGGTCTATCTGAAATTTCTTCTCACATGCTATCTATAAATAAAAATAAAAACCTTTATTTTAACCCAACCTTTAAAATATAAAAATATACAAGGTGTTTTTGGTTAATCAAATAACTGGTTTGGAAAAAAAAACACTCGCTAAGTGTTTTAAAATGCAGTATTAATCCACAAATTAGTTTTTGTTACTAACCATTAGTACATCATATAACTTATTTTAAAAATTCAACAAAAGTTTTTTTTTTGTTAATTCAATTACAATAAAATAATTGTGTTTTAGAATAGCTGACTTCATAAAAAAAAGTAAAGGTGAAAAATTTTTCTAAATACACACCATTGTATTGTACCATGGACAATTTTTTCTTACTAAAGGAAGCTATTTTTCATTTAAAAACAACCTACGAGTACTAAATTTCAAGTAAATACGTTTATTGGTTTTAAAGTTATTGTTGTTATTAACTAAAAGAATTTAATTTTTTTTAATTTTAACACCCTGTATCTCGAAAAGTAAATAAGTTTAAACCCCTCATTAACTATATCGTTTTGTTCAATTTTTCGAGAAGTATCTACAGTCAAACGTTGTAAGTGTCATTTGGAAACACCCTGTATGTATGAAATATTAGATATTTAATAGAAAATATTAGATACTTACAATTTTGCCACAGACTGAACAGTAGATTTTTCCCATATCCATAGACAGCTCTTTATAAGGTTTAATCCAAGTTGAAGCACTGGTTGTTTTAGGCATTATAAAATCACAATCTTCCATTTTGTTACGCACAACTAGTGTTTACGCTTTGAATATCAAAACAAAAATGATTTACAAATCTGAGCATCAAATTAGAAATGTTTAGGTACCTAATTCAATAAACTGGGAGATTTTGGAAAATCCCTAAATTAGGAACAAAACTATTAGCCGTTTACCTTCTGTTAAGATACAATAAATTGTAGATAGATTTGGGGATTAGATCATAAAATGCAAATGAGC